CTCTGTCTAAATGGGGAGAAGGGCACAGCGGGAGGTGCAGCCGATGCAGCCTCTCCCGTCCTAGTTCCGATTGCCCTGTTCTGTCTCTGACCCTGACCCAGCTGCCCCTCGGCCTGGGTTTAGCGCTGCCCGTCCAACACGCCTGGGCAGGCGAGAATCAATGACCAGGCACTCTCCAGTTCGCCCCTTGCCCACTAGGTGGCAGCACATGAGAACTATATTGCCCAACCCTTTGGGCCTAGACTGCATTCTGGCTGCTGGGAGCTGGAGGATCTGGACCAATCCAGCCCCCTTCACCCTCCTCCCTCTCTCCCTCCCTCTGGTTCCACTTTAGGGCTTGGTAAAAGCAGAAGTTGCTTGAAACTGCCAGGTGACCCTGTGGTTTGGAGGCGAGGCTGGAAATTTGATGCGGGCTCTTTAGAAATTGCCCACGGAAGGAGGTGGTTGGGCAACTGGAAACTGTCCAGAGCAGGAGCTGCGGTTCCTAGGAGCTTCTAGGAGGGGAAGCAGGGCTGGGTTCCTAGAAACTATGTGGCTGAGCCCTGGGCTTCCCCAAAATCACTACAGATGATGATTGGGCTCCCTCAAAACAATCAAGGGAGGCTTGGGACTTCCTATAAACTAACAAGGGGGGGCTCTGGGCTCCCTCAAAACTATCGGTTCTAGGCTTCCTACAAACATCAGGGTTATCTCTAGGGTTTCTAGAAACTGTCAAGGGAGCTCAGAGCTCCCTTGAAACTATTGTGGGTGGGCTCTGGGCTCCTTGAAACTGTCGCAGCTCCCCAGAATCTACCGGCTTGCCCCACCCCCAATTTCCCTCTCCGCCTAAGCTTTGTAGCCAGCTGCAGTTGACCCAGGGTCAGAGTTTGGGGAGGAGGGAAGGGGGATGGGTGTTTGGGGAGGGGAGCCCGGAACTGGGGACTCCAGGGCCAGCAACCCCAACTCTGGCCTGGTTGCTCAGGTCTTGCCTAGCGGCCCCACCCATTGCTATCGCTCTAGTTCAGCCAGCAAGCGTGGAGGGCGGGTTCCCAGGGCCCACTGATGCTTCGTGACCCGGGACACTGGCAGGCGGAAGGGAGAGTTGGTCTCTGAGCCACTAGAGCAAAACTAGAGGGGAAAAGCCTCATTCCCCATTGCCTGCCCCTGCAAACCTGCCAGTCCACCAGCGTGGGGCCGGATGGGAGCCAGCACCCCCTAGAGGGGAAAGGTCCTGTGCCCCATACCCCACCACCTCTAAGCCTTCCAAGTTTGGGGTGCTCATCTCCTAGATGCTTGCTGCGTGTCTGTGTAGTGCCTGGCAGTGGGCCCCAATTCTGGTTGGGGAGGGGGTCCATGCGGTGTCCAGAGCTGGGCTCCCAGCCGCCCGTCCTGTACCCACTGGTTGGCCAGGCAGGGATACTGGTCTAGGGGCTGATCCGGATCAGGACAGCTGAGGGTGCAAGAGACTGTGCTCCAGTGAGTAGGAAAAGGAACCAGGAAAAGGAGACCTGACTTCAGTTCCTACAGCTCAGGGGAAGTGCTTTTTGTTAGAAGGGAGTGGGGACGGGGCGACAGGACTCCTGGATTCTATCTCCAACTCTGGCAGGTTAGTGGGGTTTAGTGGTTAGAGCAGGGAGGCTGGGAGTCAGGACTCCTGGGTCCTATCCCTGGCACTGGCAGGAGATGGGGGTCTAAGGGTTAGAGCAGTGGGGGCTGCGTGCCTGGACTCCTGGGTCCTATCCCCAGTTTTAGGAGGGGAGTGGGGTCTAGTGGTTGAACAGGCAGATTCTCCCCTCTCAGGGAGGGAGTTTCCCAGTGCAGATGTCAGTGGCAGCTACAGAGAACAGGGTGTCTATTTTGGTGCTCTGGTCACCTCTTCCTGCCCCACCTATGCTGCCTGAAGCATCCACACCTAGGTTTATTTTGGGGTCCAAAGTGTTATCCCTATCAGCTGTCACATCGATCCCACCCCGGACAGGAGACTGATTTACCCAGCCAGGGCCAGAGGAGAGATCAGCTCTGCCCCGAGAAGCGGTCCGGTAGAGAATCGGAGATGGACATGGAGTAAGGGACTGCATTGAGGTTATCTATCTGTTTGTCTGTCCTCAAACACCCCCCTCTATCCATCCATTCATGCATCCCCATACAGCCACCTCTATCTATCCATCCATCCTCTTACACCCTATCTCTCACTCTCGCTTTCTTTCCATACACCCCCTATCTATCCATTCATCCCCATCCATCCATCTGTTCCCATACACCCCCTCTACCTATCCATCCCCATACACCCTATCTGTCTATCTCTCCTGAGGAGCTGGGCCCTGGTAGGTTTTTAGATCAGGGAGAGAGCTGTGAATGCTCAGAGGTGAGATGTGTGGGACATGAGACATGGAGTCTTTTCCCCTCTACCGGGCACCAGCCCCAATCTGGCCCCAGGGTGGGGGATGAGCTGGCTCCGGGCACGTTCTCCACCGCAGGGCTCCATTCTTCATAACCCAGGGGGGTTATGACTCAGTGTTGTGGTTTCTCTGAGAGCTCAGGAGCTTTCGTTTCTCAATCCATCTGGGTGACAGCTCCTGGCCTTCTGGTCACAGGGCATCTGTCTGTCTGCTCCCTTGGCACACATGAAAGGTTGGGAGCCTCTGCCCATTGCTCTTTGTCTGGCAGGGCCATTACCCCGGGGACAGGTGTGGCTGTGGTGGAGTCCTGGCTCCCAGCCCCTCTGCTTTAACCACTAAACCCCACTCCTCTCCCAGAGCTGGGGAGAGGACCCAGGAGTCCTGGCTCCCAGCCTTCTCGCTCTAACCCAGGGGTGGCCGACCTGTGGCTCTTCAGAGGTTAATATGCGTCTCCTTGCACCGGCGCTGACTCTGGGGCTGGAGTTACCGATGCTAACTTTCCAGTGTGCTGGGGGGCTCACTGCTCAACCCCTGGCTCTGCCACAGGCCCTGCCCCCACGCCACCCCTTCCCCCAAGGTGCCTGCCCCGTGCCCTCGCTCCTCCCCCTCCCCCACAGAGCCTCCTGCGCATGCGAAACAGCTGATTGCAGCAGGCAGGAGGCGCTGACTGGAGGGGCTGCCGGCAGGCAGGAGGCGCTGCGGGCTGGAGCTAATGGGGGGCTGCTGACGTATTACTGTGGCTCTTTGGCAATGTACATTGGTAAATTCTGGCTCCTTCTCAGGCTCAGGTTGGCCACCCCTGCTCTAAGCACTAGACCTCCCTCCCCTCCCAGAGCTGGGGAGAGAACCCAGGATTCCAGGCTCCCAGGCCCTCTGCTTTAACCACTAAACCCCACTCCTCTCCCAGAGCTATGGCGAGAACCCAGGAGTCCCGGTTCCCAGATCCTCGCTCTAACCACTAGACTCCCTCCCCTTCCAGAGCTGGGCAGAGAACCCAGGCTCTCAGCCCCCACCCCACCATTCTAGCCACTGGACCCCACTCCCCTCCAACAGCTGGGGAGACAACCCAGGAGTCCTGGCTCCCAGCCTCCCCTGCTCTAACCACTAGACTCCATTCCCCTCAGAGAGCTGGGGATAAACCCCCAGGATCCTGAGTTACCAGAGCCCCCTAGAAGCGAGGCGTAGGAGGGTGAAACACTTGGCGTTACCACGGTGGGGAGAGATGTCAAGCTGTGGGCCAGGAGGATTTATAGCAGTTCTTGGGGAACACTAAGTTTCGCTCCAGGCCGGGAACGATGTAAATATTGTAGAGTGCTGGAGCAGAGATGGAAGGCAGGGTCAAGACTGGATGAGGCGCCGTGGGCACTGGGCCCAGGGGCTTGCTGCCTCAGAGAGGGAGTGATCCGTGACCAATGGCCGGACCCCCAGCGTGGGGTCCCGGATTGGGCTCTGCTCAGAGTGGGACTGGATGACCGTAATGGTCCCTTCACGCCTTGGAATCTACAAATCTGCGATTTTTTTCCCAATGAGATAAAGGGCGGGGGGGAGTGAAAGTTTTTTTATTTCCCCACTTTCACTCACTGTTTTCATTTTCCCACCCTCTTTTTTGAGGTGGGGGAATAAAAAAAAAGGGGGGGGGCAGAGACTGAGACAAAGTGTGGGGACAGTTGGGGGTTTTTTGCCCCCAAATTCTTGGAAAAAACTTTCAACATGATCACTCAGAAAACAAAGTTTCGAGTGTAAGGGGGGCGGGGTCAGTGCTTTCGAAAGTTTCCCATGGAATGGAATGAGAAATAATATTCTTATTTGTACTGTGGTAGGATTGAGGGGCCGCCAGGCATGGCACAGGACCCCATTGCGCTAGGCGCTGTATGTTATATTAGTGCTATTTATTAGGTGCATTACGGTAGCACCCAGGCACCCCAGCCCTGGCCCAGGACCCCCATGTGCCAGGCGCTGTACTTCATTATTGCTATTTATTAGGTGTGTTACACTATCACCTAGGAGCCCCAGTTCTGACCCAGGACCCGAGGGCGCCAGGCGCTGTACGTTACTAGTGCTATTTAGATGCATTACTGTATCATCCAGGTGCCCCAGGACCCCGCTGCACCAGGAGCTGCACAGACAGAAAGAGCTGCCCCTCCGGCCCCAGGGTGTTTGTCTCAGGACTGATCTCAAAAGGGGCTCACTAATCCCACCTGTCTCTCCTCTCTCTGCAGTTAATGAGCCTTGCTGGGACCCTGCCTCCAGCCCTACCCCAAGGCCTACTAGGTCCCTGGTGGCTACTGGCAACCTGGCCCTGGCTCCGGCCCTACCTCCAGCCCCAGCCCAATGAGTAGTGTGTCCCCCGTTGCTATTGCAACCCAGATCCATCTCCATCTCCGTCCCAAGGCCTAGAGTGTCCCCTGTTGCTATTGGCGACCCATCTCCATCTCCATCCCTGTCCCAAGGCTTAGTGTGTCCCCCGTTGCTATTGGCGACCCCAACCCACCTCCATCCCCAACCCAAGGCTTAGTGGGTCCCTTGTAGCTATTGGCAACCCATCTCCATTCCCATCCCAAAGCCTAGTGGATCCCTGGTTGCTATTGTCAACCCAGCCCCTGCCACTCCCTTCTTCCCACCATGCCTCCCATTGGCAGCTATCAGCTCTCCCTGGCCGTCTACACAGTGACCTTTGTGACAGGCCTGCCCCTCAACCTGCTGGCTTTCTGCGCCTTCGTGGTGAAGGCCCGCCGGCGCCTGCTGCCCGCCGATGTCCTGCTCCTCAACCTGACAGTGTCCGACCTGGTGCTGCTGGCCTTCCTGCCCATCCGCATCACTGAGGCCTCCTGGGAGATGAAGTGGAAGATGCCGGATTTCCTCTGCCCCCTCTCCGGCCTCCTCTTCTTCAGCAGCATCTACCTGACCACCCTCTCGCTCACCGGCGTCAGCGTTGACCGCTACCTCAGCATGGCCTTCCCCCTCCGCTACAAGGCAGGTCGCCGGCCGGCCTATGCCGTGGCGGCCGTGGCCTTGTTCTGGGTGGCTGCTTTCTCCCACTGCAGTGTGATCTACGTGGTCCAGTACCAGGCCAGGGGCAACGACACAGTGGGCAACCTCACCCGCTGCTACGCTACCTTCACCGACCACCAGCTGGCTGTCCTGCTGCCCGTCCGCCTGGAAATGTTCCTGGTCCTCTTCTGCCTTCCGCTGGGAATCACCACCTTCTGCTATGCCAGATTCATCGCCATCATACGCTCCCTGCCACTGGTGAGCCCCGGGAGGAAGCGCCGGGCCATCGGGCTGGTGGCAGCCACGTTTCTCCACTTCCTGGTCTGCTTCACCCCCTTCAACATCTCCCACGTGGTGGGCTTTGTGGAGAATAAGAGCCCAGAATGGAGAGTCTACGTCGTGCTCCTCAGCACTTTCAACGCCAGCTTCGACCCCATCATCTTCTACTTCTCCTCCTCGTCTTTCCAGAAGATCTGCCTGGAGTGTCTGCAGGCTGCCTGGGAGAAGCTGCAGCTCGGCTGGCTCTGCCCTGGGGTCTGGCCGGAGGCCCCGGAGAACGTGGTCATGGCGGAGTCGCAGATGGTGCAGTGAAATGGATGGAGTGGGGACCACAGTTCTACCTTCCCCAGGTCTAGGACTGAAGGCTGGGAAGGAATATTCCCAAATAAGTGTTTGTCTACGCTTGCAAGTTATTTCAGATTTGGTGTTTCCACTTTAATCAGGGATAACTCTCCCAAAGCTATGCGTGAACACTGACTTCCCTTTTGAATCATTGCATCCACACAGCCCTGCAGGCTGCGTGCTTACCAAATAACCACACAGCCTTCCAGGAAAGCGCCTCTTGCTGCAACCTCCCGCCGCTTGCCTCTATGCATCCTGGGATTTCGCGCATTGTGGGAAGACCCTGGAATTCTGGGACCGACAGGTCCTCTGGCTTGGCTTTGGCAAGCCAGCCCCACTTCCAAACCGCTGGCTATCGGGCAGTGATACAGGCTGATGTACGCTTCTTGTCCATCACAGAGCCAGATGGCACTGGAGACAGCCACAACGATACTGATAGGAGAGGAAATCAAGCAGCTGATTGTGTCCATGGACTCCTGGGAGCGACTTCGCTTGGTGGGGCTCCACTTCTGGGCTCAGTCAACCAGCGCCGACTGGTGAGACAGGGCCACCCATCCTGGGGTGAGCAGCAGTGGGCTGGTAGTACTTCTGGACGATAGGCCAGGCCCCTAGAGATCTGCGCAGAGCTCACCCCCGAGCTGCAGGGGTGGAATAGCTTCATGAGAGCGCCCCTCAGCATGGAGAAGCGCGCGGCTGTCACCATCTGGAAATTCCTCACCCACAATTGCTGCTGGTCAGGACCTGGCCGTTCGGGGTTGGTAGATAAATCACCGGAGTGTTGTCATGGAGCCACGTGCTGCTACTAGGAGGGTGACGCTCAGGAGGTTGTTGGTGGATGGGCACACTGAGGGTTTCCAAAATGGGGGCATTGGTGGGACCCATCTCCCTATTCTTTGCTCCCCACACCAGGCCTTGGAGTTCATCAACAAGATGGAGTTTCTCCATGGTGCTCCAAGACCTCGCTGACCTGCACGGCCGGCTCACCCGTACTGCGTACTGGCGTACTGCGGTGGGCTGGACACAGGAGCTTTAGAAACTCAGCCCAGCTTCCTGCAATGAGCAAATGGACCCAGGGCCACCACAACCAGGAAGGGTGGTGTGATTTCTCCTGTCCTTCCAGGAGACCAGCTTCTCCACTCCCCCGGCTGATGGGACCTCTCACTGGACAGCTGGACGGCAGAAAGGAGTCCACCCCGTTTAGCTGCAGCACGCCAGCGGGGTGTGCACCAGGAAGGTGGAGGTGTCTCAAAGCAGCTGAGCAATATCTTGCCTCATGTCACAGCCGCTTGGCCGTATTTAGCACAACAGCTGAGGGCTTTGCCCGTGGCCCGTGGAACGTTATGAGTGGCCCCAGAGACACCCTCTGCTCAGGGCCACACCTGAGCAGAGTACAGGGCCAGGGGCCTTGGTCTTGGTCTCTCCCCTCCTCTCCCTGGGGCACAGGGTTTAGTCTAGTCCAACTGGAGTCTTTGGGCTTCTCTCGGGCGGACAGGGAGGGGACCCTTACAAGGGAGACCGGGCCCAGCCCCACGGGCGACACGGCCAATCTGCCTCCCGAGATGTGGAGAGAAACCTCACCGAAAGGGGACCTTTGCTCACGAGGAATTTTATGATCTTTGTGCAGTGTTCTGAGATTTTTCCCAGCCGGCTCATAAAGAAATAATAAACCCAGGTGTCAATAATAAAAAAAAACATTCACGGAACATAACCCTGACCAGGCGGACATCCAACATGAGGTACTAGGGGCGCCCATGGCCATGCCGATGGGCCACCGCCCTGCGTGAGGTGGAATCGGTTCTCTGTGTCTTAAGGCAGGGAGGGGGGTGTCTGTTTCTCAGAGCTGGGCAAGGGAAGGGGGGGCCATGGTGACCTCAGCATTGGGGTCCTTGCGTGTAGCCCGTGCTATGTCCCCCAGCGGGGCTGCCTTGCCTCCTGTCACAGCCAGGAGCTGGGTGCCCACCCCAGCTCCCCGCGGGGTCATGGCGAAAGTGGGGTGAGACGTGACAGCCCAGGAGTCAGGACTGCTGGGTTTTACTGGGGGTGGGGCCTAGTGGGTTGGAGTGGAGGGGCTGGGAGCCAGGACTCCTGGGTTCTATCCCCAGATCTAGGAGAAGAGGGAGGCCTAGTGCGTTAGAACAGGTGGGGCTGGGAGTCGGGATAGGCAAGGGGAAAGGAGGGGGCTCTCAGGGCTTGCCCCTCCCTCTGGCACCAGCTGGCTAAATGCTCCCCACTCCATCCCTCAGGATTCCCCCTCCCCGTGCCCCACTCCCCTCAAGCCAGCCTGTCCTCGCTATGGGGCCGGATTGGGCCCAGCGCCCCCTAGAGGAAATCTGTGGAAGTTTCGTAGGCAGCTAATGGGCAACCTACTACCATGGGGAAGGCAGCATCCAGCTCCTCTGCTTGGGGGTCTACTGGTTGGAGCTGCGGGTGGGGCGGGAGGGATGGGGCTGGGAGCCAGGACTCCTGGGTTCTCTCTCCAGCTCTGGGAGGGGAGTAGGGTCTAGTGGTGAGAGCAGGGGGGCTGGGAGCCAGGACTCCTGGGCCCAGGGCTATCTTGGCAAAAGAGCACAGGGTGGGTCCATAGATGCCAAGCGCAAACCCTGCAGTGATAAATGCCCCCATCGGAAACCCGTCTCCCCTCTGGAAGGACAGGTGAGCCAGCCCATGGCACTCCCACGTGAACGTCCATCTGGGCACACGCCAGGTAGCACGGACTCCTGGGGCGTCACCTTTGTTGCACAGCACGGATGCTATCAGAACTATGCAAATAGTAACTGATGCGGCTACACCCAGGCGGAGGGACAGGACACTGGACCCAGAGCCCTGCACGAGGCCTGGGGGGGGGGGAGGGGTCTGCATTCCTGGGGCTCATTCATCCCTGGGCAGGATGCCTTGGGGTGGCTTGCAAAGCCTTGGGATGTGTCATTGTTTTCATGGCACTGGCTCATCAATGTCAGTGTCCCCTCCCCCAGCAACCTGGGGACCCATCTCCCCTGGTATCCTGGCTACGGCTTCAATGGAGTGATTTTCACCAATGGGGATCTGGCCCCATTGACTCCAGTGGAGCGACGGCCGATTGGCCCCAGCTGGGATCTGGCCCCATTGTCTCTGTCTTTAGCAGTCAGTCGGATTCCCTCCCACTCAGCTGTGGCTATTGTGCGTGTCTCGGTGCTCTATGCAGGGTCTTTATGTGCCCCAGAGCCTGAGCGAAGAAATATGAACTTGGATTTCCTTGTTTATTTAATATCGCGCTTCTGAAAGTTGCTACAGCCCTGGAGATCAAAGGAACAACCATAAATCCAGCGCGGCTTCTCCTCCAGTGCCCTGTGGTAGAACCACTAGACCCTGCGCCCCTCCCGGAAGAGGGGAGACAACTCAGAAGTCCTGGCTCCCAGCCCCCTAGCTCTAACCATTAGACCTCCCTCCCCTACCTGAGCTGAGGATACAACCCAGGAGTCCTGGCTCCTAGCCCGCCCTGTTCTAACTGCTAGATTCCACTTCCCTTCCCAGGAATAGAACCCAGGCGTCCTTGCCCACAGCAGGGTGCAGTAGCCTGGCCGGAGGGGGGGTGGGGGGATGGACAGACAACACCACACCCTCTAAAGGCCATGCCAAGTCACACCGCCCACAAGGAAATATTGGTTGCATCTCTCATCCTTTCTGTGTGGATTTCTGAGGAAAGGGACCAGTGGGGTTTCCTGGGGCGAAGACAGACACAACATAACCAGCTGCTTGGGCTACAGAAAACTCACTCCCCAGCCGGGACGCAGGAGACCAGCCACCAGCTCATCCCTGACACATCACCTGGGGTGGCTCCCAGCCCGGACACCTGGGTTCCAGCCCTTCTGCAGGCTCCCAGGGCACTGACTGCTGGAGAGGAGGTGAGGATGGGCTCTCTAGCTGCCTGGGTCAAGGCTTGTAAGGAGGGGAGTGGGGTCTAGAGGTTAGAGCAGGGGTTGTGGCTGGGATTCAGGACTCCTGGAAGAAGACTGGGTTAGAGTAGAGAGATCGGAGAAAGGACTGCTGGATTCCTTTCCCAGCTCTGCTCTACTGGTTAAAGCCGGGGGGGTTGTGAGTCAGGATTCCAGGGTTCTGCTCCCAGCCCTCATGGGTGTGTATCAGGCCTTTGTGCAAAGTTTAATTTTGTTTTTGCAAAATTAAAAAACAAATAAGCAACAAAGTAAAAGGAAGATTGCTGGTTCAGCTGACCACGGGATTCTAGGCCCAGCGTGGGAGAGGAGTGGGGTGTAGTGGTTAGAACAGTGGGGGCAGGGAGTCAGGACTCCTGGGTTCTATCCCAGATTGGGGGGAGTGCAGTCTAATGGTTAGAGCAGGGGGCTGGGGAGAGCCAGGATTCCTGGGTCCTTTCCCCAGCATGGCCATCTCCTTTCCCTGCTCTGACTCTCTGTTCTTCCACCTGTAAAACGGGGGTAAAGGTTTGTGACCTACTTTTTCAAGATGCTTGCCCATCGCTGGGTGATCAGGGCGGAGTGAAGCTGACCAGGGGAGGGGCGTGGGGAGATGGAAATTTGTCTAGCTCAGCTGAGTGAGGGCATGGTGGGGAAAGGGAGAGGGGAACCCCAACACAGAAGAACACAACAGTCCACGTACAAGGGGCACTCAGCACTGCCAGTCAGGATGTGGGGCATGGTCATTACATCTCCCACAGAATGGGTTCCCCCACTCGGAGAAAGAGACTCGAGGGGTCGATTCCTTCCCCCCACCCCCAGCAGCGGCTCCATTACCAAAGGTTCTGGGACCGGAACCATCAGGTCCGATCCGCTCGCGGTTCCATGTCTTGCCTCCACATCTGAGCAGCGAGACAGGCTGGGAGGGAAAGTGGGTTTCCCTCCACTAGGGAGAGCGGAGGGACTGACAGTTTCTAATCGCAGGAGGGCACGACTCTCGGAGAGATGTGCTGGCTGGTGCATACACCCAGCCCTGCTCCTAGAACCCAGGAACCCTGGCTCCCAGCCCCCTGCTCTGATCACTAGACCCCACTTCCCTCCTAGAGCCAAGGATAGACCCAGGAGTCCTTGATCCCCCCCTTCTGCTCTGATCATTAGACCCCACTCTCCTTCCCAGAGTCAGGGATAGAACCCAGGAGTCCTGGTTCTCAGCCCCCTGCTCTAACCCACTCGCCCCCCCCCCACCCCCACCATGATTGGTAGGGGAGCAAGGGACAGGTCGGGCTCAGCCAAGGGTTTACTTTACGGGAGAGACTTATTAACTTCTGCTTAATGAGGCTATTTAATGATCGATCCCCACAGCTGTGAGGCAGGGGTAGAGCTACGTGCACCCTGGGGAAGGAGGGGCCCATTGTAGCTTGGCATGTGGCACCCACAGCCTGTCTGGAGCACGGGCGCAGGATGCCTGGCCCTGGGAAAGCTGGAGGGCTGCTCTTCAGAGTCACTGGAATGGCTCAGTGGCTAAAGGTGGGAGCCAGGACTCCTGGGTTGTCTCCCTGGCTCCGGGAGGGGAGAAGGGTCTAGTGATTAGAACAGGGGGAGCTGACAGGCAGGACTCCTGGGTTCTCTCCCCAGATCTGGGAGGGGAGTGGGAACTAGTTGGTTAGAGCAGGGGGCCTGAGAGGCAGGATTCCTGGGCTCTATTCCCAGCTCGAGGATGGAGGTGTGGACTAGTGGTTAGAGCACTCAGGGGCTGGGAGCCAGGACTCCTGGATTCTCTCCCCAGTCCTGGGAGAAGAGTGGGGTCTAGTGCAGCTGAAAGATCAAGAATCCTGGGTTGTGTTTCTGAGTTCTGTGCATTGACTCCTTATTTCCTATTTTAACCACAAAATCACCCCTTAGAATCATGGATTGAACCCAGGAGTTCTGGCTCCCAATCCCCCACCCTCTAACCACTAGACCACACTTCCTTCCACCCTTGATGATATATATGAAAATTTTCCTCTGAGTAACAACCACTTCCCTGTTGTCCAAGGTGCCCGCTCGCCCCACCACCTGCAGCCCATCCCTGTGTGTTTGCTCACAGGATCTCATTCATCCCAGGCTCTCCGTTCTCTCTCTGGGGCTGGCCCCGCTGCGCCTGCCACTGGCTAAACAGGAAACTGAGCTAAATAAATACGGCAGCTGGCTACATAAATTCCAGCCTTATGTCTAGTGTCAGATAATGGAACGGGAGCCCTGAGCTTGCTCGCATGGCTACTGGTAAGGAGGGATGGGAGCCAGGACTCCTGGGTTCTTTCTGCACGACTGGGAGGGGAGGGGCATCTAAGAGTTAGAGCAGATGGTCTGGGAGCGAGGACTCCTGGTACTCTCCCAGCTCAGGGAGGGAAGTGGGATCGAGTGGATTAGGACCAGGGGGACTGGAGCCAGGACTCCTGGGTTCAATCCCCAGGGATGGAAGGGTGTGACAGGATCCCTGGTGTGCAACCTGGAACTCAGGTACCCCTGAGTCCTCTGCCCCACCAGTCTGGACTCCCACTCACGCTGTGATGCTGTGACAAGCTACAAACGTCTGGCAGATACTGGACTTAGCCATCCACAGGTCAGGACACACCCAGCCGAGTTACGTGAAAGGCTGCCCTCAGCCACTCATGAAGCAAAACCAGAGAGGCTCCAGCCAAATCTCCCCAGCCTAGGACCCCGGAGCTGCACCGCCCTCCATTGGGTAGAAGCCTGGGTAAGTTCACTACCCAGTCCGCCCCTCCCTCAATGCCGAAAGGACATGCACAAGCCTTTTGTGAATGGAGCTACGATTTCCAGGCACTTCAAGCAAAATTCACTGGTTTTCGGTATCATATAAAACAGATGCATTAACTACAGAAAGATAGAGTTTAAGTGATTAGAAGTGGTAGGTATAAAAGTTAGAGATAGTTACCAAAGAAAAGAAAATAAGCACAAAAACTACATCTTAAATCTCTAAGACACCGGGCAGTATTTAGATCTAGCCGTTTTCTTCGCTCAATGGATGTTACAGTTCAGAATACACAGGCTTCTCCCTTGTCTACTCTGCTGAAGTTCTCTCTCTTCTCAGCGTCCTTGTTGCTTGCAGCGTAGGTGGGGGAGGAGAAAAGGCCAAGCCATGCAGCCTCTGTCCCTTATTTTATATCCTTAGTCCAGGTGCTTAGAAGACACTCACCCAGCCCCGCCCTGATGGGCTTTGCTGAGTCACAGTGATTGAGTAAATCCCACATAATGTGGTGCTTGTGGAACTGTCATTGAATTGTTAAATCCCTTGATTGCAACTCCCCCATTGATGAATGGCCAGTGAGGTCACCACCCGTGTAGGAAGGACTCTCAAACTTATCACATATTTCATTGACAACCATCCAGCAAAATCCTCTAATTTCATACACACTAAAGATACACATATTTGGTCAGAACAACGGGTTTCAGCAGATCATGACCTCTAATATGAGATCTTACACGGCACGCTTTGTATGACACATAACAATCATATGACATGGGTGAATATGGGGTTCCAGGGTGTTGCTTTGGGGTACGGAGTGCCACAGAGGGGAGTGGGGTCTAGTGGTTTGGAGCAGGAGGGGCAGGAGCCAGGACTCATGGGTTCTATCCCCAGTCCTGGGAGGGGAGTGGGATCTAGTGGTTTGGAGGAGGAGGGGGCTGGCTACCAGGACTCTTGGGTTCCTTCGGCAGCTGATGAGCCTGTTCTCCTTTGAAGGAGCCAAGGAGATGCATTCAAATGTTTACATCCCGCTGGTTCTCACTGTCTACATCTTCACCTTCCTGATCGGCCTCCCGTCCAATCTCCTGGCCTTCTACACCTTCCTGGTGAAGGTCCGCCAGAAACCCACCCCTGTCGACATCCTTCTCCTCAGCCTCTCCGTCTCCGACATCTTCCTCCTCGTTTTTCTCCCCTTCAAGATGGTGGAGGCTGCCTCAGGCCTGGAGTGGCCCTTGCCTGTTTTCCTCTGCCCACTCACCAACTACTTCTACTACAATAGCATCTACATCAGCTCCCTCTTACTCATGGCCGTCAGCGTTGATCGTTACCTCGGGGTGGCCTTTCCCATCAAGTACAAGCTCCGACGCCGTCCAGCTTATGCTGTCGCCACCTCCGTGGTCTTCTGGGTGTTGGGCTGTGCCCACTGCAGCTTTGTCTACATTGTCCACTACGAGGTCCTGAGCCCCAATGGGACCGTGACCGCCAATAACGCGTCTAACTGCTACGAAGTTTTCTCCCCTATGCAGCTCCAGATCCTCCTCCCTGTCCGCCTGGAGTTCTTCATTGTCCTCTTCTGTCTTCCCTTCACCATCACCATCTTCTGCTACGTCAACCTCATCCGCATCCTGCTGGCCTTGCCCAACATCACAGCCCGGAGGAAGCAGCGGGCCGTGGGCCTGGCTCTGGTCACCTTGTTCAACTTCATAGTCTGCTTCGCCCCCTACAACCTGTCCCATGTGGTGGGCTTTGTTCAGAACAAGAGCCCCAAATGGAGGGTGTACGCTCTTCTCCTCAGCACCCTCAATGCCGCCTTGGACCCTGCCATCTTCTACTTCTCCTCCACTGCCGTCCAACAAGCCTTCGCCAAGTACCTGGCTGCCCTGTGGCACAAACTCAGCGCCATCTTGGCCTGGTGCCATCTTCCCTGCTTGACTCGCTGTGCGGAAGGAGGCAGAGAGGTGGAGGCAACAAGTGGGATGGAGGCTGAGGAGTTGACAACTTGACCCCCAGGATGATACCGACTCTCTGTTTCCTCCGCAGAACCTTCCTTGTCCCATGCTCCGCAGGAGCAAGAGATCCTGCACTTGAGCCAGGGACGGCATCTTCTGTCCTTCCCTGCACCTCCCGAGAGGGCCGTCCTTCCTTAGACAGCAGCATGCAGCGGGGCTTGGAGTTGGTGCCCAACTTCCACAAGGCTTTGGCTTTCTTGAGCTTCAGTGTGATTGGCCAAACTTTCACAAGAGTTTGGCCCACCTCAGGTTGGGGTCAAGGTCCTTCCTTTGCTGCTGCCGGGCCACGAGCAGTAGCGGGTTTACAATGGTGCCAACGGGAGCAGGCCCACACTTAGAAGGGGACATGGTGCCGGGACTGTGGCCCCACCCCCCAGCTGCACCCTGAGGCGCCACCCTCATTCAGCCTCTTCCTCCCAATCCTCCGCTCGCTGTTCGCTCCTCTCCACCCCCTCCCCAGCTCCCCCCATTCAGTCCTCTCCTCCCCTTATGCCCCATGCAAGTGGTGGGCAGGGACTCGGGGGGGAAGAGGCCAAGTGGGACCACGACCTCAAGGGAGAAGAGGCCGAGCAGGGTCGGGGCCTTGGGGCAGAGCAAGAGGTGGGGCCACGGTCCGGGCACCGGGGCCCACAAAAGATTAATCCAGCCCTGGCCATGAGCGGTTGGCCAAACTCCCACTGGACTTCGGCCACCCTGTTTCGGAGTGGGTGGCCCAAGTTCCTCAAGGGTCTGGCCTCTCTCAGTGTCAGGGTCGCCATGGCGTCAAGGGCCTTCCTTTGCTGCTGCTGGCACATGAGAGGTTGGCTGAACACAGGCCTATTTCATCGCCCTCCACCCACTCCGGGTCTTTCCTTCTCCATGGTTGGGCCCAAGGGCAAAGAAGCTACTAGGGGCTGCAACTGCAAGTGGGGGTTGCTTGAGGGAGGGCAAACAGGGCTGAGCTTGTCCCGTTTCAGGGGAACCATTTAGTGGCAGATGAACAAGGGCTCCGTGAGGGGCCCGTGGGGCCCGAGTTTGCCCTTGTGGAGCTATGGAGAGCTCCTCCTCCTTGGCTACTGGTATCCGTGCGTGCTGGCCTCTGTGGAAATGTGATTACCACCTCGGTGGGACTGGAACGCAGGGGGCTACAGCCCAGCATGCTACTGCTTGAGCTAAAGGAGCAGTGCCATGTGTTGGCGGCAGTAGTAAGGCCGTTATCTGCCATGTGGACGGGAAGGATTTGGACTCTGGACCTCCACCATCAATGCAAGGTGCAAGCGGAAGGGCCAGCGCCCCTTGGTAGCAGTGGTGGGAACAGGCTGTTATTCACTAGGATTTGAACGCAGGACTTCCAGCACCACAGTGAAGGGCTCACGTGATCTAAAGGCAAAGTGCCTTTTGCAGCGGTAGTAGGGCTGTTATCCTCCCGGTTGGTGGGGGATGGGCATTCAGCAGGCACACGTACAATGGACACTGGTCCCTGTGGGTCTGTTCCAGGTCCGGACGTAGAGCTGAGATCTCCCTCGTGCAAGGTCCTGCACCTCCTCCCTTTGCTGGTGGATCTGGCGCCCCCCCCGGGGCAGTGGCTTTATCTACATATTAAATAAAATTATTGATTTATTATCCAACTGAGATTATTTTCTTCTTATTCTTCAGGTCTGGGGTGAGGTCTAGTGGGTTAGCGTGGGGGGCTGGCTGGGAGCCAGGACTCCTGAATTCTATCCCCAGTTCTGGAAGGGGAGTGGAGTCTATTGGTTAGAGTCAGGGGAGGGAGGTTTGGGGGTAGAACTCCTGGATTCTATCCATGGGAAGGGACCAGGGCTAGGAAGTGGGCCTCACACATATTGTCTCTGGCAACTTTTAATTAACTGCAGGGCGTGAATCTGGCACAGCAGGTGAGCAAATAGTGTCTCTGTAGTGCTGATATTAACCGGGGTTAATGGATAACTGGGCTGGGCAGAGCCTGGGGCAGCCAGGGGATTTCACAAGGAACCACCAGGTCCCAGGCCATGGGACCCTGCCACCGGCCTGACGCCCCCCACCCTCGGGGCTTCCCCAGAGCAGGAGCCCACCCACTAGGGTTGCCATATGTCTAACTGCAGCCCTGCCCTGCCCCCAATCACTCCACCCCCCCCACACCTTCACTCACTTGCTTATTTTCACCGGGCTGGGGGGTTTGGAGTGTGGGAGGGGGCTCAGGGCTGGGGCAGGGGGTTGGGGTATGGGAGAGGGTTCAGGGTGCGGGCTCCAGGCGGCGGTGACCTCAGGCAGCCCCGGCATTTCCCGGGGACAGAGGAAGTCCGCGTGGCTTCTGGTAAGCAGCCAGCATGTCCGTCCGGGCTCCTAGGTGGAGGGGCGGCCAAGGGGGCTCCGCGTGCTGCCTCGGCTGCAGCTCCCATTGGCCTCAGTTCCCATCCAATGGGAGCTGTGGAGCCAACACTCAGGGTGGGTGCAGTGCGTGGAGACCCCCCAGCTGCCCCTCCACCTAGGAGCTGGAGGGACATGCCAGCCGCTTCCTGGAAGCTGTGTGGAGCCAGGCACGGAGCCTGCCTGCCCTGCTGGTGCTGCGGCCAACTGGACTTTTAGCGGCGTGGTGAGTGGTGCTGACCGGAGCCGCCAGGATCCCTTTTCGACTGGGCGTTCTGATCAAAAACCAGACGCCTGGCCAGCCTACCACCCACACACAGCCCCCTGTATCACACATGCAGCCTCTTCTCCTGGGCTCAGGCACCGTGAGATATCTTACATGGCAGTCACTGTCCAACTCCTCGGGGGGAGGGGGCGAAGCTGGGTGCAGGTCGGCTCCTGCTCCGAATGGGGCTGAGACCCACCAAACCTCATTGCACAGCGAGCTCCCCAGAGCAGCTGTTAGCAGATAAACCCGCTGAGTGCTCACAAGAGCAGTATGGGACCGCGTGTGGGCTCTCAGTGGGGTGACCTCACTGCAGACACCAGGGCAGCGCTAGGAGGCGCTGGGCTGCAGGGGGTGGGGTGGGGGGAGTGTTGGGGAGTCTCACAAGGAGAAAACACGGCACTGCCTTTCAAGCCAAGTCCAGCCCGTTTCAGAGGGAGGGGAGTAGTGAGGGAGGGGAGGGGGGTTGTACAAATTCTCCAATTTTGTTGGATTAGTTTTTGTTTGATTAGTTTGTTTGATTAGCTGCCTACAACATCCAGTGACCCAGTAAAACTATCACAATAAGAAATGTGTGTGTACTTGCATTATAGGCCGTGTTGGGGGGGGGCAGAAAGTTCATGAATTTGCCCCCAACCCCAACCCCAACCCCACCACAAGGAACTTGGGGGAGGGGAGTGGGGCTTTCATGCAGCATTTGCCCCCCGCAAGGAGCTGGAGGGGGGCTTCCCCGCACTATTTCCCTGCCAGCACCGCAGTATCCCACTGCTGACAGAGCTCACCGCGGGGGAGGTGTCCGCAGCGGCCCCCCTCTCTGGGTCTGGGGCGCCGGGACTCGCACTCAGCACCTCACTCTGCCGGCAGGGTTGCCAACTTTCTACTTGCACAAAACTGAACACCCTTGCCCCGCCCCTTTCCCGAGGCCCCGCCCCCTTCCCCAGCCCCTGCCAAAAGGCAGAAGAAATAGCGGCCGGATGGGTTTGTCGCGCAGGGTGAGGTGCAAAGGGCGTCACATTTACATAGGGGAGGCAGATAAACGCAGGGGACCCGCTACACACCCCGCTGGGCAGGGTTCTGTTATTACAGGTCTTGGTACAACCCCACCCGAACCCCCCCGGGGAGCTCAGGCAGGATGCCTCTAATTGGTTAGGGGGCGCAGGCTGGGAGCCCGGACTCCTGGGTTGTATTCCCTGGCTCTGAGTGGGGAGTAGGGTCGAGTGGTTACAGCAGCAGAAGAGCCCAGAACTCTGAGCCCACTTGTGTATGAGGTTCTCCAATTCACACCCCTTGTGCCTCAGTTTCCCCACTTGTGCAGCAGCTGTCAGGCTGTGTGCATCGCCACAGGCTGGGCACGGCCCAGTCCAGAGTGAAAAGCCCCGGCTGCGCCTCCCGTTTGATTCCCCACTTGGGGGGTGGGGGTTGAAGACCCCTGAGAACACCCCTCCTCCATTTGCGAGCAGGGCAGGGGCCAGAGCAGCTGTTTCCCCCGCCTCAAGGGCCGCTGGCTGGGCCTGGGCCGGGGTAGTTTTGTCTCAGAGACGCTGCCCCTTCCTCTGGGCTTTGAGCAGACCGAAGTGAGGGGGAGGACCTGGGAGAGCAGCCTCAGGGTGTGAGAACCGGCACTGACCGCCCCTGCCTTAGCCCCGCTGCGCCCCTGGTCCTGACCGGAGCCACCAGGGTCCCTTTTTGACCGGGCGCTCTGGTCCAAAACCGGCCGCCTGGCAACCCTGCCCGCTGGCCCCCTCCTCTGCTGAGCCCTCTCTGGGCAAAGCCCCAGCAGGTCGCAGGGCTGGGCCACCCCCTGGCTGGTCGGGTTTCGCCGCCTCCCCCCGGACACTTACCTGGGCTGGGACTCCCCCCCCTCGCAGGCCGCCAGGGCACTTGTGGGACCGCCACAGAGCCCCGCCCGGAGCTCACTGAGCCGCAGCAGATCCTGCCCCCCCCCCCCCCGCGCACCGCCCGGGGCCCCGACCCCGCCCGGGGTGGAAGCGCTGGAGACCTTGGAGGGAGGGCAGGGCAGGGCAGCCCAGGCGGCCTTCCAGGCCAAATCGGCCACCTCCAAAGCAAACAAACCCCAAACCCGCACCTAAAACCAAGCCCGATTCCGCTTTGCAGCCCCCCTGTTCTCCCAGCCGGGGGCTCCCCCGCACGCATTCAGCCGGTGCCCCTCGCTCCCGACCCGCAGCCCAGGGCCGTCCCCACCTGGGGGTGGTGCCCTATGCAGCCCGAGCCCCTGCACCCGGAGCGGCCGCTCTGCTGGGGGGGCTGCGCTTAAGGGTTGCAGAGCAGCGGGGGCAGGAGCTGGGGGGGGGGGGGGGCAGCAGCAGGGCAGGGAGGCCCAGGGCAGCGCGGCCCAGGGCAGCGCGGGGGACCCGGCGCCCGC